TGTCATCCGAACAAGCTGTGCCAGTATGAAAATTAACTGTTTCCATATTATTTGTCAGAATACTTTTCAGTTTCAATATTGAATTACTCGTACCACTTATGTAAATTATTTACTAACACACTAAACGTGTTTTTATGAACGTTTTATGTAACTATTGATTTAGAATTTTTCTAAACAAAGGGGACACTCATCGATATTATAATTGGCAAAATTTCAACGTTCGAGTCATTTCACTTTAGACCTTAATATACACATAAACAAGGTTATTATCGTTTTCAAAGGCACATCAGGTACGTATCCCACAACCCACTCTTTTCTGTCACTAGAGGCCCAAGCGCAACCTTCGCATCGTCAAAGTTTATATGAAACCAAAGCAGCGCCCCAACCGGACATACAAAATTTGACGATGACGATACTAGATCCGTGACTATCAAAGTTCGTACTTGGGCCTCAGAGCCCTTAGTATCATGACGTGTTTGACGCAATTTCAGCCACACAATGATCTATTATAAAAAGAAAAAAATTTACCCGATAAAATGGCAACACTTGTTCATTTTAAACAGTGGCTACACAATGACATGCAGAGTGAAAAAACAATCATGAAAATATTTCACCTATCACTCTTCCAAATCCGAAACCCTGATTGAAATAAGGTAAACAGAATTACATCCATCCATCCATTAAAGGTAATTGGCTTAATCACAAGCCGGCCGTAAGGTTTTATTGATCGTAAACCCAAATCGTGTTTCGAAAATTGAAACATGCTTTGACCCTAAGAATCACAGACCTACCACCTGACTGTTTCGTAATATTGCTAGTCGGAAGCTTTGTTGATTTGCAACAAATCTCTCGAATATTTTTTAATAAGTAGTGTGTGCTGGGACTTCGTCTGGAACTATGATAGTTTTTTCAAACAATTTCAAAGAAATCTTCATACAAATTTTAATTCCCTGCTACACCCCCTTAAAGTCTTAATATGGCGACAAAAATGAGTATACAGGGTTTAAAGAAACCTATGACAAAGACTAAAACTACGCATTCTGTACACCCAAACAAGTAATACTACAAAATATTATAAGTGGGAATCATTTGTATTTTTTAAGTTAAAAAATATAAAATATTTTTTCCAGTACGCAATGTATGCGCCTGTGTGTAGGTGTGTGCGTGTGTTCTAAATAACGTTTTGAAAATATTAACGTATAAATCTTGAAAACAAAATGTGACTTTGATCTTCAATATCTCCATAACCATAAATTTACCAGGTATGATCCAGAAGAAAATAATGATCGTCATGATTCGACTTCGTTAAAGGATTTTTTACACCCTGTATGTATCGCTCAAAATCGCCTTTATCTCCAATTCTCCATGCTAAAATTAATTAAAATCAATTCAGTGGTAGGCGTGAAAGTGTAACAGACACAAATACTGGAGTCGAAATTTGTTCAATAAAACACAGGGTGCAAATGATTTGGTATATTTAAAACAGTTCCGTTTTTGAAAACAAATCTTTCACTGCCCAATTAATCGAATAGTATAATTTACGTTCTTAAAAATAGAATTATAACAACACAACTTTCCTGAGTGCTTTTCACTTCTGCAACCTTTTACGTGTTGTTCACACACCGAAAAACGATCACCGAATTTTAAATCTGCTTTTCACAAAAAAATTTTTGGCATGCCCATAGCCATACCTACACTGAATTTAAAATCGAGTAAACGTTAACATCCAAACTTACCTACCTATATACAAAGCTATTGTATGGTTTGTCATTCGCTCAGTTTCCAGTTTCTAACTCGGTTCTGCGGCTACCCATATAGTAATGAGCCTCGGCGAATGATTTATACAGTGGTTAGGCGACAAAGAACGATGCGCTGCAATGTGGTGACGCCCGTTACTTGAAACACAGCAAAATATGTTTTATCTTCGCTTTGCTTACAAATCACCATGAAAATTACATTTACTCGTGTCAGCGTGGTGTCGGTGTGATAGCTATTGACCGTAAGAGCAAGGAAGTTGACTCACAATGTCGCTGCCGTGAATATTGTTTGAGATTCGAGGGAAAAGCAAAAGGATGAACCGAAAATGCTATGAAATCACCATCATTTATTTAAACCGTTTTTGAAGTTATACTTCTTTAGCGAAAAAATGATGAGAGTGAAAAAATGATGAGAGTGAAAGTGAAATTTTAAGATGCGCGCGCATCACTGTAACACAAAATTTTAACAGCATGAAGTTGGTCGCTTTAGCGATTAATGTGCATTAAGAAAATCTACCAACAAAATAGAAATAGAATCTCTATTTAGTGGGTGCTAACGAATGCATTGTGAAGGCCTATCAAAAGTATTTATTAATCTGGAACAACGGAACCAAAGCGCGATGCAGGAGACTACAGCGCCATCTCTTGACCATTGGTGTAGTAGAACCAAAAACCACATCTTTATTTTTTGTAATAAAGTAACAGTTATAGGTATTCATATTTATAATATCAAAAGTATTTATTAATCTGGAACAACGGAACCAAAGCGCGATTCAGGAGACTACAGCGCCATCTCTTGACCATTGGTGTAGTAGAACCAAAAACCACATCTTTATTTTTTGTAATAAAGTAACAGGTATAGGTATTCATATTTATAATATTTATCCACATGTTTCTAGTTTGTATATATTCGGAATACGTTTTTGAGTTTCATACAAGTGCAAATCACATAATTATGTTCTAATAAATTATATTCAGTAGCGATTTTAATTGAATATTTTGATTATTTATTTATTTTTTCAAATTAAAACTGAACTTTATTGACTGTGTCCTTTTCCAGACTTTTTATTAATTTATTGTAATTAATTATTTGCATGCAATTAAAAACTAATTTTAAACGATGCCAAAGAAGGATAACTTCTCACGCGCCTACATAAGTACACGCACCCATTTTTTTTTTATGTATCCCATAGAAAAGCCAAGGGATATTATGTATATACAACCATGATCTTTACTATTTTATAAACATTATTTATCTTATTTGTTGGTTTTTCTTTTCGTTACTTCTAGTATTTATACGAAATGTAAACGAGACGACTTTATTAATAAGGTTACCTGTTATATTTACCTTTTCAAAATGAGTAATATGTATAATGCGTTGAAGTATTCATTACGAAAATGAAGACACTTTGTGCCGGGGCACAAAAAATAGTACAAATTCAAAAAGTAGGAGAAAAGGTTCGTACCACTACTATTTACAATATGTTAAGTTCTGATTCGTAGTTTCATCACAGGAAATCACAATCAATTTCAAGGGGTATAAGATTCAAAATGCATTAGCAGTCCGAAGTGTTCCATTAATTACGGGCATTCAATTTGATTTCACCGAGCATTGGGCCGGCCATTCTGTTTTATCGACTCTGCTTTGGTAACAAATGGTAACTGGTCAGTAATTAACAACCCTATTCCGAGATACTTGTTAAGGATTGAATCTGTCCGTCGGTCATTAAGGATGTGAATACTTGTTACTTATTTAATAATCCTTATGTTCAATAGTATGCTGGCGTGGTCACATCACCATCATCAGCCTATTAATGTCCCCACTGCTAGGGCACATGCCTTCTGCAGATTGCTGGGTGCTAGACTGCAGATGCAGCTGGGATCAACAGCTTAACGTGCCTTCAGAAGCAGGCAGGAGCTCGAGATGGTAAATTTTTGGTCACCTATCCAATGACCGACAACTGCGAAAGTTGTTTAACTTCAACGATCACAGCCGAACGAGCTAACACTTGCGCCATCGAACTCCTCGCTATACATGGCTATTTATTTATTTAAACATTATTGCACAAATAAGTGTACAAGTGGCGGACTTAATGCCATTAGGCATTCTCTACCAATCAACCGGAGAATTGTAGCAAATAATTTATGAAGTTAATGCAAAACTAATGCTATACGCATTTACCTAATTAAATTTGACAGCAGTACCCTTAGCACGAACCAATATCGAATTCGTATCGTTTGCAAGTACGAAATGTCATTGTCAAATGTGTACTGATTTTTAGTTCTCGTTACGTACGTTATGGCGCTAATGTTCAAGTTTTTATACAAAATTAGACAATGACATTTTGGACTCGTAAACTATTCAAATTCGATATTGGTTTATGCTAAGGGCACAGTTCTCCTTTTCATTCCCAAAAGAGATGTTGAGGAAAGGTACTGTGTGGGACCAGCTTATTGATGACTGGTTAGTGTAATCGCAGCAAATACAAATTGTGGCGAATTTTTTTATACCTGTAATCCCCTTCCGAAGAATTATATATTCTTTAAAGATTGTTTTTCTCTTATTCTCTTTCAACATTTCAAGAAGAGTAAAGGTAATCTAAAAAAATTAAAAGATATCTACTCGAATGTTTTGTAGAGTTACACTTAATACACTCATCTGTTGAGAATTTTCCACTTTATTGTTATACCTAACTGCAACCCAAATGCCTTATATATATTTTAAACGTACACCTCGATCCGAAAACAAATTTCGAATCGCGCTATAAACATCTCATCTTTAAGCTACCCTCTAAACTGAAATAACTTTCATAAATAGGCCCCGGAGAGGTCGCCGCCACCTTTATATTTCACAAGATAAGATTGCCCGATTAATATCTGGAACGACAACTTTAGATTCAATCGAGCGAAATAATCTCCATTGATTCCGGCAGTTGGACTTTGGACTTACTAAATCGTTACAGCACCATCAAATCTGATAGCAAATCGTCCAAATTAATTTGTTCGACGAGAAAGATTATTTTAAACTTACTTTTGTTTTTGTCATAGATTTTGGCTTACAAATTAATTTCTTCAATAAGTTAACAAAAATTTTTTGATTATCGTAATATTCACCCCATATAGGTATATCCTGCGAGGTTGACAGAGCATCAGAGGTGCGTCAGATTAGGACAAACATCAAGACCTTGTTAAGATTCTACCGGAATTCGAAAATAAAAGTGAGCCAACTTTTGATTGTTGCAGTGGCTTGGACGTCGTATCGATACGCCACCTGGTGGTCCTGTTGAGGCTGCTGTCCCGCCAGGGTCGAACCATTGTGTGCACAGTGCACCAACCCTCTGCGTCACTCTTCGCTCTCTTCGACAGGGTTTACGTGCTAGCGAGAGGACTGTGCTGCTACCAGGTTCGTATTGATTTGTTGAAACTTTTTCTTCATAATCACCTAGCAAGTAAAATAAGAACTATTACCTACTTACTACTAATGAGGTACTAATGGGGCACAAGCTTTCCATACGGAAGGAATAGGAAGAGCATGGTATGACATGACCCACCACGTGGGTCCTGCGCGAATAGGTAAGTGCTAACGACTATAGATGCAACCATTCCAAAGCACAAAGGTGATCGAGTTTTATTGGTCATCCATCTAGTGACTAACCATTACGAAAGTTGCTTAACTTCAACGAGCGCAGATGGCGCTCTACGCTAACCACTACGCTATTGGACTCCTCTTCGAGCCATCGTCATACTGGAAAGTATAGCAGTTTGTACTGCACTGCAAAAAAAAAACAATAAAAAGCAAAGTTGCTACCATTTTCGAGCCAAAATAAAAACAAATGACATACCGGAATCACCGGCTCGGAGCTGCGTTTAATTCGTGCAGAATTCGGCGTGCGATCGTGCGACACGCGGCACGCCGGCCATATCGCGTAACTCATCGCCATCATAATACGCCGCGCTGTTGTAGTGGAGAATGCACACTTACAAAATTATAACAATTAACGGACCATTTCAATAATCGAACCAAACTCCAGTAAGAGGAGTATTTGAGCTTTTTTAACAAGATATTTGGATTATAGTAACAATGAACTGTTGCCAAGAAATGGAACCAAATTATCCTTATCATTTACTACTAGGGCCTTTTTCATAAAAGAGAAGTAAAAACAATGGTATTTACTAGGTACAGTAATTTAGAACGGTAGTTTATTGTGGTTGAAATGTATTTCACAAAGTTTATTTTTTACTTCAGTATTTTTGAAAAAAATACTACGGTATTCTGTAGGAGGTTTACCATAGTAAAATTCCCTATTCATAAAAGAAAAATTACTATAGTATTTTACTGTGGTGACATTGCAGTAGTTGCCATTGTATATGGTAGTCATAGATACAATATATAACTTCATGATTTTAGTTCATTTCTGATCAGACTGATCACAGAACATTTATGTTTCAGATTTGATATAAAAATCTACTAAGTCTATGATTTGATGGTGTTGAACATCAGCATAATATCTAAGATATAGGGGTTACTCGGTTAAAAATGCAAAATGTCGTAAAAATATAAAAACTTAAAGTATTTTTTTACGAATGGAAACATGTTAGGTTTAAAATTTGCATTTTTTTTAATAGATAGATAACTATATTCTGCACGTAGTTAAAAGCACAATGACTAATCAGATGTATAAGTTGAAGATTTTTGGTTTTACTAATGTCCAAGTCTAGGTTCGATTATTTACCAAAGTATGTGTTTTATGAACCCAAAGCAGCAATAATGTAGTACAATGAATGCTATTTACTGCGAAAGTAAATAGCATACTTACTATGGTAGAAAAATGAACTACCCTTAATTATTATAAGAAATGAAACACGCAGTTACTACTTTTTTTTGTTTATTTATTTTCACTAAAAATACGGGTATACAAATCAACTTATTTCGCCAAACTGAAAAGTCACTTTGTTAGCGAATAATACGCTCTTTACTTTTTTTTCTATATAATTATGAAATAGGGCCCTGGTGGTTAAAAGAAAATATTTCATTATTTAGAACTAGCAAACCAGTGAACCAAATGTTCACCAAAAAAAAAAAGTATTTAATTGAGAACTTCGGAGATTTTGTGTGGTTTCGTTTGAAATGGAAATCACGTGATTTCTCGAAAACCGGAAGTGCTACGTTACTCACATCCGGTTTGTAGTCTTATCAGACTATTCTTAACTTATAACTTAAACATTCTCTATATCTATCTCTTACGGTTTGGCCGCTGAAACAGCACCACGGACGGACGGACGGACTTGTCTAATAGATAAGAGATACATACTACAACAATCAACTATCGCTAAGAAACGAAACTAAATTATACTTACGAGTACCTTTAACCAACAGTAGTGTTGGTTCATAAATACAAAATAATATATTTTCACAGGCTGTTAGTAAATCTCTCTCCGTGACCGAGTGGTTTGTACGCCGGGTTTCATGATGTCGCCGACTCGAGAGGTCCCGGGTTCAAATCCCGGTGAGGGCCGATGTTTGTGTGATGAATAATGAGCATTTGTACTTCAATATGTATTTCTTTATAAATGTACTAATTTATGTACAATATATGTATTTTAAACGTTAACCTAGTATCCCAAAACACAAGCCTTACAGTGCTTACTTTGGGGCAAGGCTAATTGGTGTGTGTTGTTCAAAAAAAATCTACAGACATTATAATATTTTGATAATATAATGAAATTAGTACTATCATGAAGATGCTTTAACGTTAAGTACATTATGTTTATGGAAAGCAATGATACGGTTCGGTCTTTTCCACAAGACCTAATGTTTTTTACTGCAAGAGTACATAATTCCATTTTTTGATTGCCATATTTTACGAAACTACTTTATTTGTAACGGGAGGGACAAGCTAACAATTTCACGCTTCATAAATTTTGATGACATTCTACATTTTTTCATGATTAAAAATGTCTGATCAAACTGATGATAAAGTAATTACTACACCCTAGTCTGTAATCTCCTTAAGCAGAGCTTCCGATCAAAAAATTCCGGAAGCACCGAAACGTGCGATAAAAGTCAAACATTACGGAGTCCGCCAATGGAGGCCGATGGTTTTTTTTATATTCAATTAATCTTAAAGGTGATTCCGCCCAAATGACCCCGTATTCCGGATTGCTATTTTAATTATACTAACATACCCGATCTGTACCTACAACAGTTTGGCGGTTAATCGAGCAAAGGGTTAGTACCTACTGACTGTCATTACTACTTACATAAGTAATTTTCTTCATAAATACATAACTAAATCGCATATTTTTTTATTAAAGATTTGAGTGCGTTTGACCACAGTCGCACCTGATGTTAAGCAATGATGTGGTCTAAGGTGAAGCACGCAAACTCAAACATTCCTCTGTACTCTTGCCTTGAAGATCCCTATATTATATGTATCGGAGAATAAGGAATGACGCAAGAAGGGAATTCCATTCCGTTGTGGTTCTCCTGACGAAGGAGAATGCGAATCGTGAGGTAAGTATGCAGTGGAGAAATGTCAACCACGCACGGATATATATTCATCTGAATAGGTTTATTATTTTGAACCGAAGGTGAATAGCTGAACTGATAAGGCACTGATGTGTTATGGTAATCGGAAAAAACAACAACGTTACCGTAATTACCCAAACGCAAAACAATTTTGATTAATTACTTTTTGTACGTAAATCCGATAAAAAATCATAACCTGTACATGTTTTTTACACTGGAAATGAAAAAATAAAAGCTTTTAAAAAAAGTTAGTAAAAAAAGTAGATGCTTATTTTAATTATAGAAGTTGTTAATAATATAGGTATGTTGTATAAGATAAAGGACATCGACGAAATCAGCCCTAGCATGCCCAAAAGAATGTCCTTCACTATTATTTTTATATTATTTTTTTAACTTATTAGCAATTAATCATTGTAAACGGACAATCTGTTTAAGAAAATAAAAAATAAAAGTTCTGTTACTAGATACTACAGTCTGTTCATCCAACTTGGCACTCCTTTTTATTGAAAATACAGCATTAAAAATCAACTGATAACTAGATTCAATAGGTTTCAGTCTATAATAACGATTTATTTAAATAGTTTATTGGCATCGTTAATATTTTATTATTAAACGGGTGATTCTGTTAAAAAGTTGTGTCAAGATTGTTTACCTTAATGAATGCAATATAGGCGACCATAGGTATTTGTCAACATAAAAATAGAACTAGGTACCTTAGTCAATAATAGTTATTACTAGTATTTATATTATATTTATAAAAAGATTATTGCTGAAATTATGTAAATATAGTTTATACTCCCATCCCATGTAATATCTGTTTATTTTTATGAAAATCATATTGATAACCAGGTACATACCTAGTTAGTTAGTTAGTTCTTCAGGGCGGTTTCCGCACTTAGTCCTAATTATTGGACCATTGTGCGTGTCTCAAAAACATTCCCGTTTACTCCAGCCAGCCTAAATCGGTCCAGAAGGAAAGCAACCTTGGTAGGCTGCTGCAAGCTTCCGGAAACGATTCTGGTGACTGGAGAAGTCGTGCCCGTTGGTCGGCCACACTCCTGCATTCCATGATGACATGCTGTGGCGTTTCTTCCGCCTCCATGCATCCTCTGCACAGGGGGCTGTCCGTTACTCCTATTGTATATAGGTGTTTGTTTAGGGGACAATGGCCAGTCAGGGATCCTATAATCCTGCGAAGTTTGTCCCTATTTAGTCTGGTAAGGGTGCGGGCAAAACTTTTATTTACCGCCGGAACCGCGTTTTTCGTTTGCCGGCATCCTTCACCTGTTTTCCACCCCATCAAGTGTGATTTTTGAGTTATTTCACGCAGCCACGTTTTAATTTGGGCCTGAGGTATGGGCAGCAAAGGTTCCGGACCGTACACTTTTGTGTCTGCTCCCCTCTTGGCCAACTCGTCTGCTGCGTCATTTCCGATTGAGCTGCTGTGTCCTTTTATCCATTGCAGAGTTACCGTGTTGCTAACCGCAATGGATTGAAGTGCCTTGTGGCACTCCATTACTAGGACAGAGTTTATTGTGTTGCTACGTAGGGCTTGAAGCACGGATACACTGTCAGAGATGATCTTGATGTTATACTCTCTGATGTCTCTGGCTGCAACCGCCTGTGCCGCTCTGGTAATGCCAATACATTCCGCCTGGAAGATTGTGCTTTGTTTGCCTAAGGTTGTGGATATTTTTATATTCAGGTCGTTTGAGAAGACACCGGCTCCAGTACCACTGTTGGTTTTGGAGCCATCCGTGTATATCCTAACTTCCCCGGCGCCAGAATAATCTGCCTTTTCCGCGGTAAGTTGGATGTTGTATCTTCGATCAAAAACGTGTTGACTCAATACTCTATCCATAGGTGCCTCCAGG